TTTTTAGTATCCACCGTAGTGCAGCCATGTAGCGCATGCAGCTCGCTGGAGCCGAGCTGTTGCCACACCTGGATTGTCTTTCTGAAATGAGCGGTACCCTTCCATCCCTTTAGAGGGGTTCAAGTGGATATATAGACATATGTATACACATATATTTTGTTTAGTTCTGAAAGCAGGGTAGAACGGCAGGGATATAGATGCTAGATGAAAGGAATGTTTGGGGCCCTAGTCTTGTAAGGGTCATGACTTCAGAGACCCTCGTATGGAACAGCCAGGCAACACGTTTCTGAACAGTGTATTTTGCCAAACGAGGGTGACATCTTTGAAGTCTAAAACGGCCCATAACCTTGACCCAAAGGACCTACCAACCCTTTCATACGGGAATGTCTGAAACTTGCACCCGAAAGAATTGGGAAACCCCACAATTTACTTGTAATCCCCCAAGCCCCTAAGGCTATACCCCGCTCCCCCCCCCCTCCCGATTTTGAGGCTTGACAGCTGCTGGCAGCCTCAACCCATCTTGCCGCTTCATTGGCCGAGAGGGCCAGGGACCCTGCCACTCGAAGGGGCTCATTATAGGGGAGCTTCACAAGGAAAAAAGGTCTTTGAGATATTCAAGAAGGGCTTCCGGCCCTTTGAAAACATGAGTGTTAAGAAGGTTTTTATGATTTCCCCTCAAGGGGAAAGAGCTCTTAGCTTTTGGAGGGTCATGTAGGGATATACAGGGTCTAGGGATAGAATACCAGAAAACCAACTGGAAAGAGTTTGGACAATGACATGGATACTGGGATGATATAGGGGCTGGTCTAGGGATTGTAAAGTAGGGGCCGGCTGAATTGGCACAAAGATTTCGGGCATATCATACTGCAAGGATATTCGGATTAAAGGGACCATGTTGCTGATTTTTGAAGCGGCGTCTACATCAACCCCTCGGCTAACAACAAAGTGGTTTTTGCTTAATGAAGCTAGGTAGCAGTACCTACAAGCTGCCTAAAGTATCAGTAAAATCCATGCAAATCCTGGGTCGCTTGTCTTTCAACGGCAGCACTTGGGCCTTGCTTTGCTTTCAAACAAATTCAGGACCGGCTGACGGGAAGGACTCGGATAGCATTCAAATGACCGAAATTAGGGTCCTTTT